GAGAAGAGACCACTACCAACCCATCGGAAGAACACATAAATGTAGAGCAATGAGGGTGTTTGGGGCGGAGGCGCTGCCCATTCAACTCCCTGGGCCCCAAGTGACGGGCAGCAATGCGCGGCAGTCGGAAAAACCGTCGCAAGAAAGTTGGCAGGCCCATCCTGTAGAAGGCTGCGTTGATGCCTCCAGTCGCCACGTTGGCCTGACCGTCGGTCTTCACCTGACTCGGGGACGAAGCAGTCGGGAGTCGGGTGGAGAGTGGGCCCTTGCATGAACAATTGCAGACGCGGGTGTCAAAGATACTGCGGATATTCCCATCCTTGTTGGCAGCGAAAAACACACCAATATTATGGGGCGTCTCCAGGGCCAGGGTCCACTCGAGCATCCCGCGATCGGAGAGGAGGGAAAGGAAGTCTGAGTGGGCGGTCGTTTTTTTTGGTTATCAGGAAGGGGTCCGCGTAGGGTTCTCGGGGGCCCAGTTCCTGATGTAGGCTGGAGGCCTCATTGGCACCCCTGACAGGTTCACGTGATAAGAACGCAACCAAGTAGAATCCCCTGGAGATACCATACTCGTCGCACAGGCCGCAGCGGCCTGGTCGGGAAGGCAAGTAACTGCCGGCTCTATGGCCTCCTAATGGACCCAGACCCGTCGTCATGCAGTCCTGAGGCCGTGCAGATCTCGCGCAGAGACCCCGCGCCTGTAGCAAGGTCAGGTGGGGCAGCAGATATACCGGAGAAAGAATCGCGAATGTGCTTCACCGCGTCGCGTTGGCCGGCATTCTTCGCGCCCTCCGAGCAAGCCTCCGTCCTCTCTCCCACCATGGCGTTGAGACATGAGATTCCGTCGTTAGCCTAGGGACGATACTGCTGCACGCACTTGCGCCTCCGCTGCACACTGCGAGACGGAAACAAAACTGTCTGCTGCTGCCCCACCTCCTCTGGCAAAAAAAAGCAAAAGAAATATGTCCCTCTCGCGATCACCACGGGCGCGCTTGCCTGCAGGATGCGACAGCTCCGGCAGCGGCGGCACGGGAGGAAGCTCGGCAAACGGCCGAACCTCACGCTCGAGGCCATGGGGGGGGAGAGATGTGTAAAGGAGAATCGGAAAGGGTCGAGGGAGACTGCCCTGCAGACCTGGCCACAAAAGAAAGGGGCGGCGGGCGGCCGCTTCCAGCCGCCCGAGGGGACTCAGCCATAGTCTTTTTGTCAGTCCTTCTTGCCCTTGTTCTTAGCTTTTGCAGAGGCCCTCTCCTCAAGAGCTTTGCGCCTGTCCTTCATGACGAACATCTCCTTTTGAAGCTTTAGCGACACCCACGACTGTAGAGCCGGTCGCACAGCGGCATTCCCTCGCACGTGGTCCAAGCCCATGTGCAAGAAGGCGTCCTGTGTTGTGTCATCTCCTCCACCCGCGAATGCGGGCATCCTGTCGCGGTACCTCTCCTCTGGGAGCTGGATCGATCGGGACATGATCTCGGCGGCGGCGATGTCAGGCAAGCTCAGTTGATCAAACGTCGCCATACAGCACATCAACTGGTTGTCTACGCCGCATTCGTCATTCTGGGTTTGGCGTCCGCCTTGCATCTCGCATGCCTACCGAGAGGGGTCTGGCCGTTGGACACCATGAAGCGGTAGAGCCACAATGTTGTCCGAGGGCCGCGCACTGGGAAGTCATTGTACGGAGTCTCGATAATCCCCTCCACTGCGAGGCGGAACTCCCGAAAGCGGCCCCCAGAGGCGTCGTGGCTGACAGGCTGAATGCGGATGTCGACCACGGGCAGGGCAGCGGCAGCGGCCACGGCCACCCCAGCCGCTGCGGCTACAGGCAACAACGCCCCTCCATGGACGACAGCGGGCGGCGGAGCCGCCACGACAGGCCCTGCAGGCGCGCCGACACCCATGGTTGGTGCGACAGCGGCGGCAGCAACAGCACCTCCACCGCCTCCGACTCCTGCGACGCCTCCGACTCCAGGAAGGCTGGGCGCAAGTCCCAAGGCGGCGGCAAGCGCCCCGAGGCCGCCACCACCTCCAGGAACCGGGGCGGCAGCAGCTGCAGGCGGCTCCGAGAGGGGGTTCTCCCCTTCCGACGGCGCGACCTGCGAGGTTGGGCTGTTTCCTGTCAGCAGGCACTGGAAGTCCGCGTCGCGCGGCCGCCACGGCCCGAGCAGCAGCGAACACCGCCGGGGTCGGCACGTTCTGGAAGCGGTAGACGGGCACCGCGATCCCGCCCGCTCCAGCTGGAGCTGCGCCACCACATGCACCTCCAGCCATCAAGCCGAACCACACGATATCCGCGCCCTGCTACCAGTCCTCGTCGTAGTTGTCCCCACCTGGGGTCAGCACGCTCACGGTCGTGCCCGCGCCGGGCTCGATCAGCACCAGGCGTTCATGGAACAGCGGAGCCCCGGGCACGTTATACTGAGCGGCGGCGAAATCCCCAGCTTCGATCCCGAGGCCTTGCACCGGCGGCGGCACTGCCGCAGCCATTTCAGGCCTGAAAACGACGTTGGCGGAGCAAGTGCAGCTGCTCCTGGGCCAGCGTCCCGATGCTCACCCCCTGGTCCAAGATGGCGGGCTGTGTCTCGCCTTCCTGCGTCGATGAGGTCGTCCGCGGTGCGCTGCGAAAGCCGCCAACCGCGAGGAGCACCACCGAGCCCAGGCAGCCACAGCTCGCGATCGCCAGCAGCCCAGCCACCAGCGCCAGCCAGCGGAGGTCCGGGAGGTCGAACCCGCTGCCGCTGGCGTGCGACGCAACGATGGGCGCAGGGGCGCCCGGGCAAGCAGGACAGGCGGGCAGCGCTGGAATCGCGGGGCACTGCGGACACTCGGGGCAGGGTGGAGGTCGTGGGCAGGAGGCGAAGTAGGTGAGGGAAGCCTCCCAAGCCCATGCGACGGCCTGCGCCCACATCCAAGATCGCCGAGGCGATCTCGGAAAAGCTTGAGCCACAACGTTGTGCGGCCCCGCTCTCCCCACTCCTACTTACTGCATTCCATCCAACCATTGTTGATCCCCTGCCCAAAAACAACTGATTGTTTCAGTTCAGTGTTTCTCCTGGGGATTGGAAGGCGTGGGGCACCAAATTGTGACCCTGGCCCCTGGTTTACAACAACGGCACAAAGCATTTCCAAATCGCACTCTCGCGCAGGACTTCGCCACAGTTTTGCAGGAATCGGGCTCTCCCGTGGAACTTCCTCACAATTTGTTCAGACACCGCGCCCTCGACACTCAGGAATCATGTTCTCGCTGTGGCCATTCCTACGGTTTACTGGGGAATCGCGCTATCGCTCGAGACCTCCCCACGATTCTTGCAGCACTCACGCTTCAGCAACCCGCCTGCTCGATCTGGCCGCTTGGGCCCGCCTGCCCGACCCGCCCGTTAGGGTCTACCCGCTCGATCAGCCCGTCTGGTGATGCCACGTGTTGTCTGCTCCTAGCCCCGCTCCTATTGATCCAGTGCTCCATCCTTCTCCCTCCCCCTTCCATCCGTCCTCTGTTTCCCTGTTTTAGGGGCTGCGCCCATTACACGCGGCAGGTCAAGAAGATATACCCCCAGGTGGGCACGATCGAAGACGAGGAGGCGGGTATCGAGGTTTTGGGATATACGTGTTGAATGGCACGCGAGTGGGTACGCGCGATCAGTCTTAAAATGACTGTTGATGTTGTTGTTGTTGTCGTCGTTGTTGATGTTATGTTTGCTGTGAGTGTGAGCGTGAGCGTGAGTGTGATTGTGAGATTGTGTTTGTTTTGATTGTTGCAATTGGTGTTGTCGTCGTCCTCGCCCGCGAACCCCTCCCCCCGCGACCCATCCCGTGACAAACCGCGACCCACAAGGCCCCCCCCCTCCACACTCTTCTCCGTAAACGCGGAATGCTACGCTACTCACATTCATGTACTCACTTGCTCACTTGTCATATGATCCTCGCTACATGCACACCTCCTCCATATCATCCTTCGTCTCCTCCTCCTTGTCATCATGCCGCCCTCCTCGACCTCAACCTCGATGACGTCGACGTCGACGCCGTCGTCGTCCTCCTCATGCACCCCCACTCACTCCTCTTCTCCTCCTACACCCCCTCCTCCAATTCTGTATAACTAGCTACTCCTCTTGCTCTGTTCGCCTTCTGAACCTCCGGAACCCTTCCCGTCTGCTCCTCATGTCCTCACCCCCCCATCGTTTCCTGATTTGCGCACCTGCCCTCTGTCCATTATGTTTCCCTCTGGTGTCTGTCTCTTGCCGCCATTGCCGTCGTCCCCCATCCTTCTCCTGCTACCATCGCCTCTGCCTGTCCCGGCCCGGCCAGCGTGTACGCCGTGTGCAGAATGTCGGCTCGCAGGTGTCGCGACGAGAGCCGCTGCAAGAGAACACGAGCTGTTCACACGATGTTCTTCCTCCTCGCAAGACCAGCGCCGAACATGAAGCTCACAGGGAGATGGGCGAGAACGGCATGCGGCAAAGCAACAGCCGTGTGGAGCATACCGATCCCGTCGGAGGCCACGCCAACGGTCCAGCACAACGGCAAGAGACTGGACGCGCAACTGGTGAATATCGCGTGGAAGACTGGCGTGAATGTCCTGCTGTTCAGCGTTTTGAGATGCTGACAGAACCACCAGGACTCCGAAACCCCAGCCATTGCGATGCTAAAACTCACGAGCGGAGGAGGAGGAGGAGGAGGTGGAGGAGGAGGAGGAGGAGAAGGAGAAAGAGACGGAGGAGGAAATGGAGAAGATGGAGGAGGAAAGCAAGACTCCTCAGCGGGGATAAGGTACATTCCCTGTCTCCGAGGCCAGGTGTTTGTGTATCCGTGCCCTGCTCCCCTCGGCGCCTGGAGCAGTGGGCAGCAGCAGGGGTATGGATCGAACGCAGATCGCGGAACGGAGCAAGGAGGGGGGAAACCATATCTTGCTAGCAGAGCTGGGGGCGGCCATCTTCCTCGCAGCAAGAGGGACACGCACAACAACCCTCGTTTGCAGCCCCGCCGCCCCCCCCCCCCCTCCAAAGCGCCTGCGCCATCGGCGGGCCCATCGACGGGCCGCTAAGCCTGCGGAGGACGAGCCCAGGCGGGGTGAGGCAAGGGCAGAAGAGAGCGGTGGACTGGGAAACGGCGCGGACGGGGAACGGGAGGGAGAATTGAGACAGTGAAGGGCAGGGCCAGACGGGAGGGAAGGAGGGGAGGCAAGAGGGGGAAGCGTCGATGGGGAGATGGGAGATGGGGAGTAGGGGCACTGGAAGAAAAATAAACTACAACAATAAACATAATCGTTCGGATATCCTCGCGGATTCGTGGAGCTGCGCTGGAGCCGCATCCAAGCCGCGCGGGGCGCGCCATGGGCGGCGCCGCCAGCGCCGCCAGGGGGGCTCAGCGCAGATCCGAAAAGTCCGCGCGGATATTCGAATGTTCATGTTTGAGCAGAGAGGGGGGCCAATCACAGAGCTCAGCCAAAGGATAAGGGGACGAACGGGCCCCAGGGGCCTGCTCGGCTGCGCGAAACAGTGGCACTATGTAAGAGTGGTGTTTGGTGCGCGGTTTTGTTTGGGCGCGAGGGGGCCAAACCCGAGCGCGCAGGACGCTGCTGTTGCTCTCGGGGGGCCCCAGCGGGCCCGCACCAAAGGACACCCCTGCGAAAGGCCACTCATGTGTAGTCGAGCCTGCGGACCCAAGGCCTCGACCAACGAGCTGTCACCAGCGAGGCATGCCTGCTTGCTTTCCAAGAGTTCGACAGGCCATGGGCCTGGACGTTGGCCGGCCGCCATCGAACAACAGAGCTAATGGAGGCTTGAGAGCCGCCGTCTCCCCTTTGCCCGCCCAGGACCGCGAGATGCACACCATCGACCAAGCGTCACACCAGGGGGAGGGCGTCGTCTGGGCATCGCGGATCGACCGCGGCTCGGTATGCTGGCCGTCGCAGGCTGGACCGTGCCGCGGGGGCGGGACATCGAGGGAACCAGGCAAACCCTCGGCCCGCCTGTTCTCGCGCGGGAGCCCAAACGCAGCTCACCCCTGGGTCACGCAACGTCGCGCATCGCGCCACGCAGTGCATCCGATCTGGCCTAGACCGCGACGCGCGAAGCGTGATCATCTTTGCGCTTCCGCGGGTGACCTAGGCCTTCCGAGCCACGTCCAGTCATGGCAATAGCAACAACAGAAACAACAACAGCAACAACAACACCAATAATCACTTTAAGACTGTTCGCTCTTACCTGCTCGAGTGTCATTCAACGTGCATGTCCCGAACCATCGGTACCCGCCCTCTTCGTCTTCGATCGTGCCCCTTTTGGGGGGTATATCATTCTTCCCTGCAGGCTGGGCCCCGGCAAGCGGCGGGGCGGCCGCGGACCGTCGGCCCAGAGGCAGCGCTGATCGGCGGCAACCCAACCCCAAGAGGGACGGACAGGGGACCGACCATGACGACGACGACGACAACGACGACGACGACGACGACGACGACGAGCGAACGCGAGAGCGAGAGCGAGGCCACGAAGGGCAGGAAGGGGGGCACGAAGGGCGACAGCGGGGCCACGAAACGCATGCGTATGGGGCCACGAGGGGCGCGAACGAGCAGGGGCCACGAAGGGCAGATAATGCGGGGCCACAGAGGGCAAGGACGGGGCCACAGAGAGCAGCAACGGGGCCACGTAGGACAGCGAGGGGGCCACGAGGGGCGACAGCGGGGCCACGAAGGGCATGCATAGGGGGCCACGAAGGGCGCGAACGAGCGGGGGCCACGAAGGGCACGCGTAGATTGGGCGGCGGAAGGCAAGGACGGGGCCATTGAGGGCAGCAACGGGGCCACGAAGGGCAGCGAGGGAGCCACGAACGGCTGCAACGGGGCCACGAAGGGCAGCGAGGGGGCCGAGAAAGGCTGCAACGGGGCCACGAAGGGCAGCGACGGGGCCACGACGGGCTGCAACGGGTCCACGAAGGGCTGCAACGGGGCCACGACGGGCTGCAACGGCGCCACGAAACGCAGCGAGGGGGCCACGAAGGGCTGCAACGGGGCCACGAAGGGCAGCGACGGGGCCACGACGGGCTGCAACGGGTCCACGAAGGGCTGCATCGGGGCCACGACGGGCTGCAACAGCGCCACGAAACGCAGCGAGGGGGCCACGAAGGGCTGCAACGGGGCCACGAAGGGCAGCGAGGGGGCCACGAAGGGCTGCAACGGGACCATCAAGGGCAACGATGGGACCGCGAAGGGTTGCAACGGGTCCACGAGGCGCAACGATGGGGCCACGAAGGGCTGCAACGGGGCCACGAAGGGCGAGACCCCGATTCCTAAGTCAGCTGTGAGGGAGTCCTACGTGTGAGTGCGGCTCCTGGGTGCCTGAATGTCGGGAGCGCGGCGCTTGAGTAAATTGCGGGAAATTCCAACTCAAGAGCGCGACTCTTTCGTAACTTGCACGCACGTCTCCAGCGAGAGCGCGATTCCAAAGCGCCGAGAGAGCGATTCCTGAATGAATTGTACGGAAAGCCCAAGCGAAAGCGCGATTCCTGATTAAACTGCGAGGAAGTCTCAGGCTGGAGCGGGGGTCCTGGCTGAATGATGAAGGAGTCTCAAGCGGGAGCCGTTGTTGTTGCAATCCGGGGGCCAACAACCCGGTTTGAGCCGAGTGACTTTCCCTGATAAAAATGACCCCGGTGCGAGCCCCGGGGGAAACACTTCAATTGGAAAAACAAAATGGTCACCGGAGGGGGGATCAACAAAGTGATTCTTCAATACTGGGATCGGAGTTCGACAACAACGACCAAAAACAGCAACAACAACAGCGTCAACACAACAGCATCAACAATAAAAGCAGCAATACCAGCATCGACAACACCACCACCAGCAACAACAACAACAAACAATCATGTCCAGACAGTTCGGTCATACCTGCTCGCATGCTATTGAGAACGATATCCAAAACCTTCGGTACCCGCCCTATTCGTCTTCAATCGTACCCCCCCTTGGGGGTATATCTTCCCTGTCTGCCGCGTGTAGTTGGGGCAGCCCCTAAGGCAGGGTCAGAGAGGACGGATGGAATGGGGAGGGAGAAGGATGGAGCACGAGAGAGATTAGCAGGAGGGGGGCTAGTACCAGAAACCACGTGGCAGAACCAGGCGGGCATGAATCGCGAGGAAGTCTCGAGCGATTGCGCGATTCCCAAATCAATCACTCGAAACGCAACAACAAGAGCGTGCCTCCTAAGGGTTGGAGGCACGACGCCTGAATAGATTGGGAGGAAGTCCCACGCGAGATCGCGATTCCTGCATCAAATCGGAGGAAGTCCTGAGCGAGAGCGCGTATTTGAAATAAATTGTGAGGAAGTCTCAGGAGCCACTGTTGTTGTAACTCGCAAAGGTCCAATTTGGTGACACCTCGCTTTCCCTTGTAAAGAACCGGGTGCGAGCACCGGGAGGAGCAGTTGAAAAATACAATGTGCCCCGGAAGGAGGGGGATCAACAATGATTGTTCTTTGGCAGGGAGATCTCAACAACAACAACGACGACGACAACAACAACGATGATCTCACACAAGCGGGAGCTGTGACGGTTGACGGTTGCATCCTGTTGTGGAGCACGGGCGCTTCTTGAGCGGTGAGACCACGGCGGATGTCGGAGCAGACGCGGACCCGCCAAGCACTCCCATAGCATAACGAGTGGGACACCTGGGCTCATTCGGGGCACCGTTGGGGCTGCCGAGCGCGCCTACCGCTCGTGACCTCCCCACAGCCTGCTGAGGAATGCGGCGGCAGCGCGAATCGTGAAGACCATGACCACGCTGCCGGCAACGATTGGAGGAAGAAAAAACAACATCAACAAAAATTTTGAGGGAGGCCCAGGTGGATTTGTTGTGGATTGGGCGGGGTCCACCCACCCCCCTCAGGGCAACGACCAATACGGGAAATAGTATAAAGGGAACGATAGGAAGGAGTGCAAAAACTGGGCCTGGCCACATTCCCTGCATTCCCTTCGATGACCCTCAGAGCATGTCTGACCGTCCCGGCGTGTGCTTGTCCACCGAGGCCCTCCAACACGACACAGGCGCTGCAACGATGGCCGAAACAGGCGACGTGCTGTCGGCGGAGCTGAGCGGGGCAGCACACACACACACACAGGACTCGCACACGTCCTGAGGGCCACCGATCTTTGACCCTCGCTGCGCGGCGCGGTCCTGCCCGCCGCCATGTTCACTCCCGCCAGCAGCCCAGCGGTGGCCGCGGGCGTGTTGGCCTCGGACGCCAAGCCCTGCGCGGGGATGGTCGCCGCCGGCCAAGCACTTCGGAGCCCCTGCGCCGCGAAGATGTCGAGCCGAGGCTGGGCCGTTCCCTGCTCAATTGATGCCCGCTCCATGGGAGCCCACGTGGCCCCCCAGCGCTGTTCGACTTGGGCCTGATTTGGACTGGGCTTGGAAGACATGTGGGACCAGGGCGGGACCCGACTCGCCCCGTCAGAAGGGAGACGAAAAGAACGACAGGGAGGGGGACCAGAAAGGGCGAGGAGCAGCGCAAGGGCCAAACGCGGTCCAAACTGAGAAAAAACTGATTTCAATGCCGCTTCTCAAGGATCCCATGAACGTACGTCCAATGCTCTGGTCTCGCCGCCACAGGAGGCCAGGCTGGGCCGGAACCTGACCAAACAAGAACGAGAAGCGCGTATGTATATATATATATATATATATATATATATATATATATATATATATATCTGTGTAAGCTGGGGAGACTCCCGAGGGCCAGACTTGTTTTGCATCCGCAACTCTGTGTGATGACTCGTCCCGGAGCTCCGTGAAACGTTGACTGAACGGGCGAGGCCCCTCGACCAAGGAAACCGTGGCCCGAGACAATCACAGTCCACTGGACACTGCTCGAGCTGAAAATGGGATGGGAGCGCAGCGTGGGCGGGAGGCTTGAGCACACGTGTCAGCGGCCCTCTCCCGCTTCCCACACGCAACAAAGAATCTATGGCACGCCATTGCAATCTGTGTAAGCTGGGGAGACTCCCGAGGGCCAGACTTGTTTTGCATCCGCAACTCTGTGTGATGACTCGTCCCGGAGCTCCGTGAAACGTTGACTGAACGGGCGAGGCCCCTCGACCAAGGAAACCGTGGCCCGAGACAATCACAGTCCGAAACCTTAAAAACTCGAGCACCAGCGAATTTTAAAACCCTGGCCTTAGGCCTCTACATACCTGTCCAGGCTCAGAAACGAATGGTTTCGCAGAGCCTGTTGGAAACACTTAGCTACCAGCATGCAAAAATCTTTTGGGTACGGTTCTGCGATGTGCGTCCAGAAAATGCCTGAGGCATCTTTGCCCTCGAGGACCTGATGGGGGCGGCGGCTAAAACTGCAGACCCCACGACCCGAGCATTTATAGGGGATGAGCGGGTCGAGGTTGAGATGGCAGTACAGCAGCCGAGTGCGTTTGCGCCAAGGGGTCGAGAACGCACAGAAATCAAAGTCCACAATACGAGTGTTACGAATTCGAATGAGACTGCGCGCACCTGGAAGCTGCCACAACCAGGATGTGCTGGGATTCTCAATCACTACTGGTATGTTTAAACTGCGGGCAAGCAAGAAAAGAGAGAAGCTGAAAGTGGCAAGTGCGTTTCCTCTCTCGACCTTGAGCTGATCTCCTGGCGACAGGCCTGGCAGCCCCAGCGGAAATAAAGCCGTCCGCAAGGGTGGTGGCCCGTTGGGGCGGTTGCGGGCGCGGCTCATGGACTGGCAGGGCGTCGCAATCCAGATCGCGACGATGAGCCGACTCCGCACCCAGCCTCGAACCTGCTGCCTGATCCGCCTGAGGAGGAGGTCGCTGTCGGCGTCGTGGCGGATGTCCAGCTCGAAAGCGGCATGCTGCGAATGGAAACGCAGGCGCCACGCTGCCGCCATCCGCCCGGAGCCGCTGAAGACCTCCAGGAAGACGCCGGATCTGGAATGTCTCACCCACGATGCCAGCTCGCCGACGGGGTGGCGCCAGGCCCGCGGAGCGCCTGCTCGGCACGTAGCGGCAGGGCGCGCGGCAGCCCGCGAAGATGCTCCTGCACCTGCCTCCCCTCGGCGTAGCATTGAAGCGCGGCGTCGGTCGACCACCTGGCGCGCATGCGGATGTCCCGCAGAGGCCGCGCCGCCGCGAACAGCTCGTGGCTTGCGCCATTGTGCCCGTGCATCAGGTTGCTCCAGACCTGCAGGCCGAGCCCGGCAAAGACGGCCTTGACGTGGCCGCTCCACTGCGCCTGGGCCACCGGAAAAGGGCGGTGGCCACCGGGCGTCCGGTGGTGCGGCTCCTGCTCGGGGCGTGGCGCCCTCGGGGAGCGGGTGAAGCCCGCCCGCAGGGTCTCGTCGAGCATGTCTGTCATGGATGGGGTCTGCATGTCGGACAGCTGGAGGACCATGCACCACTGGTGCAGCGCCTCGGCAGCGGTGAGCCTTGGCGGGATGAGCTGCGACTGCACGAAATCCAGCGCCTCGCGCGGCCTCGGGCACAGGTCGAGCGCGGGCGCGGTGGGCCAAGCGTACTCCTCCAGGCCCCCGCAGCACAACGTCACCACGATGAGGCACACCACAGGCCGTGAGAGCGTCAGCCGCGGCCGCGGCGGCGCCAGGCAGGACCAGGTCTTGGCTGCCCGTGCCGCCCGCAGCTGGCGCCACTGCCGCGGCCCGAGGGTCGAACGCACGAAGGCAAAGGCCGCCATCAGCATCCACACGGCGCTGCTCTTGCCCCCGTCCAGGAACTCCTCCAGGAGGGTCAAGCCCTGGCGGGGGGCCGCAGCCGGGAGGAAAGGAAAAAGGTTCGCCTCCCCCCGCTGACGGACTGCCCAGCGGTCGCCCTCGGCTGGGCGCGCTGCAGTCTCCGGCGCTGCATGCGGCCTGCCCTGCAGCTGGCGAGCGCCCACAGCACCCGCAGCCGCAGGCGGCCTCCTGCGAGCCCGCATCGCCGGCGCGGCAGGGGCCGCCCTGTCGTCGAGGACCGACACCAGCATTGCCGCCGTCATCCTCCCGGAGGCCCAGCGCCTGGGCGGGCGGGCAGGACGCGTCGAGCTTCGATGTCTTGATCCGCACGGCCTCGGGGGTGTCACCAGCCTGGTCACGAGACGCTGGATCTGCGCTGTTATGTTCTGATGGGACCCAACGCCAGATAGCAGATGAACCTGAAGCCAACAGAAGAGCACATGCCTGACGACAGATTCTCAAAAGCGGGGGCGACGATGGTCTGCCCTTGAGAAGGGCCAACACTGGGGCCATGGAGTCATTCAAGATGATGTGCGTGGTGTTGAAGTTTCGAGCGGCTCGCAATCGATGTTTCAGACACAAGACTAAGGCTCTCCCCTCCAGCACCACCTGAGCCTCCCTCCTGGTCCACGGTGTAGATAGAACCCGATGCCATCCTTCCGCCCAGACCTCCTCGGGCACCTCCTCGAGCGTGATTTCCTCCCCCTGATTCGGCTTCGGCTCGACTCGGAACGGGACCTGCTGCTCCATGGCTGCTGCTATGACTGCTGGATCGCGGTAGGGCTCCGACGAGGCTTGCTTGATGCATGACGAGGTGATACGCTGAGCTTGCTTGCTCTCCGAGGCTAAGGCCTTGTCGCGAGGGGCAACCTGTTGCTCGCCATCCCGACTGAACCTCCATCGTTCGTTGAAGATAGACAAACGACGAGCTTGGTCCGAGGTGATGGTCTTCTCTGTCACACCAGCGCCCCACCACGAGGCGTCCACACAGGACACGACAGGCGACAAGGGCCGCCCGGCGTCTCGAAAACACAAAGGCAGCAGTGCGCGGCACCAAGCCAGTTCCCGTCTCACTGCCGGCGTCAGCCGCCGCCTCTCGCGGCCGCCGTCGCCCATGAAGCCGTACACGGCCCCTAGGCAGCTCAGCAGCTCTCGACGAATTAGCGCCCTCGAAGTGAAGTGCGATATCACCTTCATCATGGTGTGACCGCTGCACCAGCCTTGCTCCAGCAGCTCGCCGATGCCGAGGCGAAGCCGCCAGCGTAGCCGAACGCTGAGGCCGATCACGGGCTTGTCCTCGTCAAAGTGCCAGCCCAGCGTGCCCCCGCCGACTGATGCCTCCACGGGGTGCGAGGGAAGGTCTGAAGCAGTCAGCTCCCCCTGTACTGCAGTAGCTGCATCACGCACCTCGCGCAGCCTGTGGGACAGGGCGATGAAGTTGTCGACGTAGACCGTGCGCGCCATTCCCTGCTGCAGGTCAGGCGCGGGCCGACGGTCCACAAGTCGACGGCCAAAATGGCCAGGAAGCGCTCGGGCGGTCACCGCCTCGTTCAGGCTCTGGCATATCCATAGGCTGATGCTCCAGCCCATCGGCGGGCACCGAAAGCACGGTACCACCCAGGCCGAGGGTCTCACGGGCGTGCCGTCGGACAGGTTCACCAGCCCGAGGTCGCCAGCCCTCACCTTGGGCAGCCCGAAGTAGCGGCGCAGCCACTGCGGGAGCTCGATCTGGTAGAACGCGTCGCAGATGTCGACCCCCCCGATGCTGATGGGCTCGTCGCCGTCGACCGAGATCTGGGCGAACGCCGCGCCCGTCGCCAGCTCCACGGGGTCTGCGGGCGCAAACCTAAGCGAAGCGTGCCTCCCGTCGAGGATCATCCGCAGCGACCCGTTCTTCTTGCGTACGAAAAACATGCCAACGTAACACTCCGCCGAGCTGCTGAAGTCCACCAGCCCGGCGCTCATAAGCCGCCGCACCACCATTTTATAGAGGCGCGGGTTGCGAAGGGCAGGGTCCGTGTAGAGCCGTCTCGGACCCACTTCCTTGATGCGCTCCATCCCCAGCTGTTGGGGCAAGAGTAACTCTTTCAGCCGGCGAGCGATGTTCTGGCCTGCCATCTCGTCGATAGCCTCCAGGGCGGCGGGCTGGCTGCCGGCAGGAGGCAGGGAGATGGAGTCGACGAGGTCGAAACTCACCGGGGCAACCAACGTGGCGTCACCCTCGTATGATTGAGATATCCGGAGCTCCTCGAGGGCTCCTGGACCGCCCAAGCCCTCTGGGCACGGGCCAAACCTCACAGCGGCTTGTCGGAGCTCCGAGAGGACGAGGGCGTGGCCAGCGGCAGGCACCGGCATGCCAGCGGGCGCTTGACGGCGCGCCACGGGCGGGCAGCCCCACAGGTCGTTCAGCGCGTCGGTCATCTCCTCGACCATGCCGTGAACGTGCGACCGCTTCTCAAGGCGCCTGCGCACTGACCTTGAAGGCGGGGAAGTCGTAGTGGGAGAAGAGGCTCCAGC